ACAAATGCAGCAATATGGTTATGCATGCAATCAGTTGACGAAATTTCAAAAACAATGGGCAAAAGCAATAGCTGTATCCAGACAGTACAGAATATTTGTGATAAATATTTATTATTATATTCATTTTTTTTAATGTTATATAAATATTTTATACATATTTTATATAAAGCTTTATTCGAAATATTATTAAAAGATAGACTAAATATTTAATATAATATTTATGATAAATATAAATATTTTGTAAATATTTTATAAATATTGTATGATGTCTGGATACGTTATGTTGTCAACAAAATGACAATAATATAACAGCAAGGAATGATTAATTATTCCATCTTGAGCATTATGACGAAAATATGACGGCAACAAAACATAAATAACGATATTCATCCATTGTTGCGTATATATCTTGTATAAGCTAGGTTTTTAATCGATGATTTTTTAATTGTATTGTAGTTCATTGCTAACAAATGTTATCGAAATCACCTGCGAGCATTATGCATCTCCGCCGACAAAGGATCACGGTGGAGATGCATTATCTCGTAAATAAGAATCACATGGAAAAGAATATAAGCAGCGCAGCATTTCATATGTGAAGCATGAATGTGCGGATTTCAACACTTGCAGCAAAGTTAATAGTATGAAGAGAGTATAAAAAGGATATACAATTTTGTAGGCAAAATCTGATCAAATTTGTTGCCAATTTGGCTTCAAATTGCTAACATTTTGCTATCAGAGTATATAATTATATATAATTGTATAAAATAATTTCAACTTTTTATATAATTATATATAACTTTTTATAATTTTATATAATTATATATAATTATATATAAAACTTTTTTCCCCGGGTTGTTAAGATTAATCCCAGTAAACACCAATTAACAATAATACAAATAATGTTATAATTTCCCACTTAACAATATAAATGATATAAAACACATGTATTATGTTGCATTTATATTGTATTACTAATTAATTAGTAATGTAGTGTTTACTGGAATATATTTATCAAACATTTTTTAAATTATATTATTTAAATTTAAGTTTTCCAGCATACAAAGTTTTTTTAATTTTTTAAAATACAAATATGATGTTAGATTGATAAACTTAATTTAAATTATATTAAAAAATTTCTATACATGAAATATTCCAAAAATATTTATTCCGACATTTTGAATTTATCAGTTTTGATATTAAATTAATATTCAGCAATTTCAAAAAATCCTTAAATTTAAATAAATGTAATTAAAAAATATTTTACATTTTTAATGACATGTGTAAATTATAATAAGAATTTTTCTTTTAACCATATAATTATTGATATAACAAATTCTTTCAAGAATTAAAAATTCTAACATATTTAATTTTTATTTCAATAAAATTTTTTCAACATATCACATATCGAAAATATAATGTACCAAATATATAAAGCCTTTCTTGCAATTTTAATTGTAAATTAGATATTTCAAAATTGTGACGAAATAAAACAATTTGGTAAATAAGATCATATTCATTGCCGAAAGAACTACGGGAATTAATTACCTTCGATCTTATGCATTTTTTTGTTGACTAGTATAATAAATTTACAAAAGCTGACATACTTATGGGAATAAAACACATCCATACGCATATGCGTAATATGTGAGCATGTATATGTTTTCTTATTATCATAGCTTTCATATCAGCTTTGGAAAATTTATTAAATATTGAAAGGAAGAGCTCATCAGCATACGCACACGCGAATATGTATCGATTCTCTGATGCATCAGCTTAATTAGAAAAAATAAACCTTTTATCTAGCGAGAAAAGAACAACGACGCGAATATAAGAAATTAAATACTAATGGCATAATCAATAACTTTTGCTCACGTATTAAATTAATTATGCCTTGGTTTCTTTGTTCTGTATATAATGCGTGAAACCATTTGCACTGCTTGCCGCGACCGAAACCTTATAGAACTGAACGCAGAACTGTAACGAGTCACGATATGACTCTCAAAAATAACTCCTTCTATATAGGACCGCATCTCCGTGCAGACGAACGGTTCTATTTATACGATCGACATCTACGTTTTTGTTTTATATGGAAAGATTATGCGCGGCCCTGTGTACGGATACGCCGCATTAATCATAACGTCGAATGAGAGGCATGCTTTCCATTAAGCTTTATACCTCATTTATTTATAAATATTTTAAATATAATGTCTAATTTAATATGATTTCTATATCAGGTTAGATATATTCAAGAACGTCTCTCTCTCTTTCTTTTCTCCCTTCCTCTCTCACCCACTCTTTCTATTTTTATTTCATTCTGTTCTTTCTCCCTCCTTCTATATTTTTTTATGTTTTTTGGATGTATAGAATAAATTACGAATAAATTAAACTATGATTTTAAATAATAATATTAAATAATAATATAACTAAGACTCAAAGACAATTAAAAAATTCAACGAATTTGTTATACGAAAATTGACACGAATGTGCAACTTCGTGTATTGCGTGAGATATTGATGTGATAATATTAGGTGTAGTAAAAAGAAATCTATTATATTATATATAAAGATATGTCAATGTGTTGGAAAAACAATGACCTCTATTAAAGCATTAAGAAATATACGTATAATTGTGTTATTTATAATTTTGACTCGCATAGTCGTGAAGTTCCACAAACATTTATAATGACGTATTTTTGATGTTGGTGGATTAATATGACGTTATGCAGCTGTGACAAATCTATGTTTACGAAGATGGGACGTCAGATTCGTTAAGAATGACCAATTAATTACGTTAAATAGGCCTTGCTACTTAGAACACACACACACACACACGCGCGCGCGCGCGCGCGCGCACACACACGTATGTATGTATATATATGTACAATTACATAATACATATTTAAATCTATATTTTTTATAAATTTTAATTTTTTTTTATAAAAATTATTAAATGTAACGTATTTTTTCTATGAGATTATATCACGTGTTGAATTATTTGCAGTATATTATTTAATTATTTGATTTAATATGTATTCTTATTACTATGAAGTAAATGTACAATATAATAATTATATTTCATACATTATTAATACTACATTGAATGATAATTATATTTTACATTAATCGTTGTTAAAAAATATCAAATATTCCTTAATTTCTCATTTTAATATTCCATATTGATAAAGTTGATAAGCAATATACGTAAAAACGTGCTTGATTTTTCTTATACATATGTTTAATTGTTGTTTTATTCTATTTATCAAATTTTTTTTAATTTATGTAATATAATTTATTTTTATTATATTAATCTGTGCATTCACATTTTATCTCTTTTTTATTTCAAATGAAACTAAGTAATCTCTTGTTTTTTGTCTTTAAATGTTTCAATACTTATTATCATTAGATTTATTATCAAATAATATATTTTAATATTTATGTAAATGTTTACAATAATAACGCACAAAATACAATCTACATCACAAATTTAGTAACAACTAAATTAATTCTACTAGAAATT